GAGCCCTGCCGCCCGCGGCCCCTCCCCTCCTCCGTCGGAACCGGCCTCTTCTCTCCAGCACGTGGGTCTGGTCAGACCAGCCTTGCGTAGACTCGAACCTCCTCCCTCAGGCAAATCTCTTCTCCTTTCTGAACGTGTGTCCTACTCACCTCTGATCAGTCTCTGCCCTCTGCCCTCAGACGTTTCTGCTCCTGCTACTCAGTCTCTCTCCTCCATCTAGCCCAGCCTCTGACTTCAGACCACATCACTTCCACCTGCTGCCTTCTGACCTGTTCCCAGCCCTCGCGCCCTCCCTCCCTCCCCACCAACATGGAGCCTCCCTCCTCAGACTAGAGTCTCTCCCCAGCCAGACCCCAGCCTCCACCCTCTGGCTAGATCCTCGTCCTCTACTTAGACCCATACACTTGTTTCCATCCCCAGGCAAGCCTCCCTCATCAGACTTGTCTCTGCCCTGGGTTCTTGCCTCTAAGGGGACATGCCCCCCTCCCCACCTTCTTTGAGAGTCCACCCTCCCCCACTCAGACTGGAGACTCCTCCCTCTGACCTGAGGTCCCTGCTCCCACCCTCGGACCAGATCCTGCCTTTGGACTTGGCAGGACCTGGTCCCCTCACTGGGCGGCAGCCTCTCTGTCACCTCTCAAATGAGCTTCCACTTTCAGTCTGGGAGCCCTGCCCTCTCTCCTGTCTCTGACCTGATTCTGGGGCCACTAACCAGAAGCCACTGGCTCCTCTCTCTGACTTTAATCCTTTCCCCTCTGACCTTAGCCTCCACCCTCAGACTCATAACAATCTCCGCTGACCTGACAGGGCTGCCCTCTCTGTCCTAGGCAGAGCCTGCAGCCTCCCCCTTCAGATCAGACAGCCCACCTCCTCTGCGGTACTCCCCGGGATGGTCCTGGGTCCCAAATGCCAGGGGACACCCCCCGGAGTCCAGCCACCCTCACAGAGGGTCCGGTTGGCCAGCGGCTGTTTGTTCCGTCTGCCGGTCGCCTAATGGCTCCAACAGGCATGGGGTGGCGGCCAGGGCGGGCGCGGCCTTTGCCGAGTGAGCTCACGTCTGTCCGGGCGTCTGGGCCAGGGGTGGGCAGAGGGCACGTGGGCTCGGCACGGGGTGAGGGGAGGAGGGAACCTGGGGTCACCTGGGGCAGCAGCCTTGGTACTCCTCATCCACAGGATGGGTGTGACTCTCAGCCTCAGCCAGAGTGCACTCTGTCCCCACTGAGGAAACGGGTTCAGAGCAGACAGACAGGCGGAAGCATAGGGGCCGCCCCCCAAGACCCTCGGACCGCGACATGCCCCCCGCAGCATGCCTGAGGGGATGTCCAGGCTCACGAGGGGGATGGAGAGCAGCTTGAGCGTGGCCAGCGCACGGGTGCAGGGGCCCCCGACCTCGCGGGGCTCCACGCCGGGGCCCAGCACAGCATCCACCACCAGCCCGTAGGCTTCGTTGATGAGCTGCACCTGGGAGCGGGCAAGGTCAGGGGGGCCTGGGGGCACTGCTCCCCACCCCGCCCGCATGGCCACCCACACTGACCTCGGTGGGCAGGTAGGACAGGAAGGGGATGTCCATCTTCTCGCACTGGGTGGTCAGGTCCCGGTGCAGCAGGTCTAGCGAGCGTGTGGGGTAGAAGATGGTGGGCTCATACTCCTGGGGGGGCAGGCAAAAGGGACTGTCACTGGCAGCAGGTCTGGGACAAGCACTGGCCTGGGACAAGCACTGGGCACATCCTAGAGCCGTCCCAGGTTCAATAGCCCCCTGGGACGCCAGCACAGGAGGAGTGGTTTCTGCAGGGACAGGAGGTGGTGCGGGGGAGGGTGGTCCTTGCTACTCACAAACACCCGCAGGTGCCGGGCACAGACCAGTCCCACCGCCCCGTTCTGCTCCGGGCCGCACACCACCAGCACTGTCCTCTGCTTCCGGGAGAGAGCCGGCAGGGGGAACACCTGCAGGGGACACAGCGGGACCCTTGCCAGGCCTCCTAGCTGGGGGTGGGGGGGCTGCCCAGCAGCACGGTGGCTCGTGTCTGTAATCCCAGCACTTTAGGAGGCTGAGGCACTAGGATCACTTGTCCAGTGCGAGACCAGCCTGGACAACATAGTAAGATCCTGTCTTTATTAAAATAGTTTTTTTGTTAAGAGAGAAACTGAGGCCCAGAGTAGGGGAAGGGACAGCGACTGGGCCTGGAGGCAACAGGGTAGGACAGAAGGAGAGGCATTCCAGGTGAGGGGGCCTCAGTTTCCTGGTCTGAGGCAGAGTCCCTGCCTCAGGCTCTGACAAGGCCATGCAGGACAAATGTGTCCAGCCACTGGTGGCGCCCAAGCACGGTCTGTTCATTCTCCACCTGAGCTGCAGACATTCCTCCACCTTCTCCACCTTGAGCTGCCCCGCTCCAGCCTCGGTCCCTCCCGGAGCCCTGGAGTGGAGAGGTCCGTTCATCCAGGCAAGGTCCTGGTGCTTCCTGTCTCCGTCTACCTCTGTGTATCCCAGACTCTCTCTCTATCTCTCCCCATCGGTCTCTCTCCATCTCTGTGTCTATATTACTCAGACTCGCCATGTTTCTGTTTTCACATCTGTGTCTTTCTGCTTCTCTCAGACTGCCTCTCCCCATCAAATCGCTCTGTATCTCCCCCCTACCCCTCAGACCCTCCATGTCTCTGTCTCTCCATCTTTCTCTGTTTCTCTCAGACTCTGAGTGGGTGAGTGGGAGAGAGGGTATCTCTCTCCATTGAGTCCCTTTGTCTCTCTCTCTCAGACTCTTCACATCTCTCTGGCAGTCTCTGTGGACACATGCGCATCTCTCTAACGCAGATGATGGAGTCCCAGTCATGCCCTGACTGTGCGTGGCCCCTTCTCCCAGCCTCAGTTTTCCCTCTATCAATTAAGCGTGACCACAGCACTGGCCTGATGGGCATCTGGGCATCTCCCGAGCCCAGCCTGGCTACAGTGAGCCAGTTCTTCCCCTTCTGAGCCTTCCCTCAAGGTCCCAGCGCAGAACTGACCCAAACGCACCCTTGGCTCTGGCCACGAGGCCCAGGGCCCAGGGCCCAAGGCTGTGTCCTGCTGGCGGGGACTGAGAGGCTCAGGCAGACAGGGACTTTCAGCGCCAAAGCTGGATGGCGGGCGCCAAGTGCCAGGGTCAGTCGGCTGCGCTGGGCTTCTCTCTGGGCTTGCATTTTCACGGTTTCCCTGTCTTTTGGGCACCTCAGCCAGGACAGGGTTCATTTGGAAATATAAACGCTTAAGTCCACATGAGAAAGATCCAGAGTTTTTGTTGTTGTTGTTAAGTACACAGTGGTAATTAGAAGAAAAAGGGTAGGAGGGCTGGACACGGTGGCTGATGCTTGTAATCCCGGCATTTGGGGAGGCTGAGTGGGAGGATTACCTGAGACCAGGAGTTCAACCAGCCTGGGCAACGTCGAGAAAACTTGTCTGTACAAAAAATATCTAAAAATTAGAGTCCCAGTCACTCAGAAGGCTGAGGCAGGAGGATCGCCTGAGCCCAAGAGGTCAAGACTGCAATGAGCTGGGATTGTGCCACTGCACTTCAGCCTGGGTGACCCAGCGAGACCCTGGCTCAAAAAGGGGGGAGGAGGGGGAGGAGGAGGAGGAGGAAGGAGGAGGGAGGAGGAAGAGGGGAGAGGAGAAGGGAAAGGGAAAGGGGGAGGGAAAGGAAGAGGAGGAGGGGATGGAGAGAAGAAGGGGGGAGGGGAAGGGGGAGGACAGAAGAGGGGGAATGTGAGGAGAAGGAAGGGAGGGAGAGGGGAAGGGGAAGGGGAAGCCGGAGGAGGGCAGCCACATGCTACAGCTCTGACTGGGGGGGCCCTTTTCTAAGGCGTGTGCATCTAAGAACTACCACGTCAGTACCACTCGTCACCCGTGTTCAGAGGGGGAAACCGAGGCCCAGCATGGCTGGCGACACAGGGAAGCACAGGACAGTATCATCACCGCGGCTGTCACTCTGGTGTCATCCTCCTGGCACCTGGAGGGGCGGGGCTTTCCACAGAGCTCTGCTTCCGACCCAGCGTGCCCCTGGGCAGGCCCTGCCCAACTCCGGGTCTCAGTTTCCCCACGGGTGGCATGAGGTTGTTTGGGGGCGCTCAGACTGCAGGAGCTGATGCCCCCTGTGCCCAGGACCCTGGAGGTGCAGAAGCAGGAGGGCCCGGTGTCCCCGCCTCCAGGGCCTCAGAGCCGTCCCTCAGAAGCCCCCACCCCGTCCCCCTCGGGCACTCAGGCTCCCAGGCCTCCTCTGGCCCCAGCCAGCGATGGCCCGCCCGGGGTCTCCGTTTCCCGTCTGGGCGACGAGCCGGAGCAGCTCGAAGCAGAGCGGCTTCTCGAAGGCGGGGCAGGCCTGGCCACAGGGGCTGTCCCCGGCTTGGGCGGGCTGGCTGTCCGGCTGGGGGTCGGGGCCAGGTACCTTGGTCACAGCCACCGCGCTCGCATGGCCGCACAACTCCACCAGCTGCTGCCGACCGAAGCGGTAATCCTCCAGCAGCTCTCGCTCCAGGGCGGCGGCCTCCGCGGTGCTGGGGAACAGAGGAGGCAGAGACATCAGAGACCTCGAGACAGAGACTCAAGAGGAGCCAGGAATGTTCCGCCGCCGTTCCGCGCCGGGCCCGAAGCCGCCCTCGCACCCGGTCCCCGGAGCAGCTTCTGCAGCCCCGAGCTGCGGGGCCTCCCGCGGTGTCGCCGCGCGGCCCTCCGCGGTTCGAAGGAAGGGCAGTCTGAGCCCAAGTTCGAGGCGCGGGCGCCCTCCGGTGGCCGACGACGCGCGTGGCGACGCGTGGTGGTCTTGCGGCTCCCGGGCGTGGGAGGCAGAGCCCGACCGGACGCCCCAGACCTCCAGGCGGAAGGAATCAAGAAGGGGAATGGAGCGCGAGAGGCTTTGATGGGAGCAGTGGGTTGCCGTCAAGCAGTGCGAACCACTGAGCTTCAGGACGCCGGAGGGTGGGCTGGACTGGGCGCCTGGGGCTTTCAAGGCTTCAGAGGAGTTGGACGGCTCACTCAAAGGGTAGACATGGGACCTGATGTTCTGAGACCCTTCAGTGATGTTCTTCAGGGGCAGTGATGAGATTAGATTATTAGGCAGGGTGCGGTGGCCCACACCTATAATCCCAGCACTTTGGGAGACCTAGGTGAGAGGATTGCCTGAGCAACTTGGAGAGAGCTCATCTCTACAACATATCAAAAAATTAGCCAGGTGTGGTGGCATGTGCCCGTAGGCTCTGCTACTTGGAAGATGAAGCGGAAGGATCGCCTGAGCCCAGCAGGTGGAGGCTGCGGTGGCCGTGAGCGGGCCACTGCACTCCAGCCTGGGTGACAGAGTGAGACTCCAACTCAGAAAGAAGAAATTAAATTATTCATGGCCAGAGGTGGGGCCACATGACACTCACTTCATTGACTGGGGGTCTGTCACCGCTTCTCTGAGCAACGCTAGATGTGGAACACACTACACAATTTGTAGGGCCTAACACAACATGAAAATGTGGGGCCCAGGCTGAGCATGGTGGCCTGTAGCTCCAGCACTTTGGGAGGCTGAGGCGGGAGGACTGCTTGAGCTCAGTTTGAGACAAGGCTGAGCAACACAGTAAGACCTCATCTCTATAAAAAGTAAAAAAATTAGCCAGGCGTGGTGGCACACACCTGTAGTCCCAGCTACCTGGGAGGCTGAGGCAGGAGGATGACTTGAGCCTAGAGGTCAAGGCTTTGATGAGCCATGATCGTGCCACTGCACTCTAGCCTGAGCAACAGGGTGAAAATTTGTCTCTAAAAAAATAAAGAAAGAAGCCAAGCTCAGTGGCTCAGCCTGTAATCCCGCACTTTAGGAGACAGAGGTGAGTGGATTGCCTGAGCCCGCGGGTTCGAGACCCGCCGGGCAACTTGGCGAGACCTCATCTCTACAATAATAACAATAAAAAAAAGTTAGCCGGGCGTGGTAGCGCGCACCTGTAGTTCCCGCTA